CTACAAAGCCCTCACAGACAGCGTTCAGTCGCAGCCATCACACTGACTTCCATTAACAGGACTGTTTTGCCCTTTGGCATTGTGAAAAGTGATGCTGCATATTTTGGAACTCACTGCCCTTAGCTCTATTCACGGATAAAGAATGTTGTTGTTAAGAATTGTTAAAATAACTTGTTTTAATGTTAACGTTATGCCTCAGTTAAAATAGCCCTTTATGTTATCTGTTCACTGCAGATGTTATTTCTTTCTTTGTTGTTGTCAACAAATAATTTACTAATTCACTCAAACAAATGGAAAATAAGCTACATACATTTATATTTAGGATTATAATGTAGGATTGTAATGAAGGAATGAATGAAACATCAATTGATAGGTATGATGTGGTTTAAAATATATATATTGATCTTTTTTGAAATGTTAGTTATGTTGTGTTCTTGGTTGAATCAAATTGGAAGTTGCACCAAATGATTTGATGTGATTCAGATGCAATTAGCCTATATAAAAGGCCTCAAATTGGAAGCACTGTCTGGGCTGTCTTTTTCACTCAATTCTGCAATAGGTAGATCTCGCCTTTCACCTAGGCCGAAGTCGGTGATCTTGGGCTTAAAAAGGTTGGTGACCACTGTGCTAGACAATGCTAAGTCAAATGAGCCCATCAGCCTAACTGGCTTTAAGCCCATTACTTTCAACACCATAGTCCAGCTGATGTTAAGTGCTCATTAAGCCCAATGAAAAATGGAACAGGAGACAATGAAAATGCTCCCCTGTGATATCTGGTATTCAACATTTAAAAAGCAGTGAGTAAACTAGGAATTATAGCAGCAGGTGGCTAGCGTTGCAACTTAATTAGTGGTTCAGTGAATGCTTTTGTGTGTGTGTGTGTGTGTGTGTGTGTGTGTGTGTGTGTGTGTGTGTGTGTGTGTGTGTGTGTGTGTGTGTGTGTGTGTGTGTGTGTGTGTGTGTGTGTGTGTGTGTGTGTGTGTGTGTGTGTGTGTGTGTGTGTGTGTGTGTGTGTGTGTGTGTGTGTGTGTGTGTGTGTGTCACAGTGTGTGTGTATTTCTTTGTTGACTGCCAAATTTGCAGGGATGAGCTGTAAGGTCAGTCTGGGTTGCTTCTCAATAGGAACACATGTTTATCCTTTGATACAAGCTGTGCACCTGAGGAGTGTTGGCTTTCATCTGTGTTTAATCACAATTTCCGAGGCTCCTTTTAAAACGCAATGTGTTTATAATGGAGCCAAACATTCAGGAGCAGAAACCAAAGTAACAACACAGTAGAATTATGACAATCATTATATCTAATTAATGAATCACATGCTAACACATTTGTTGATTACGGATGAAAAACAGAGTAATATAAACAACTATTTTGGACCTTTTTGAATGACTTTTACACTGTGATGCCTGTTAAATATTGAACAAGTTGTTGATTTTTACTCTCAAAGTATGATATTTATGGCCTACATAAACATGTGAGAAATAAAATCCTTGAGTGAACCAACAACTTTGAATATTTCAATTGAATGAGCATTACCTGCCACAAGTTATATAAGTTGTGCATTACTTTGTTATTTATTTTTGTAATCTATGTCTCGTTAAAAACTAGTGTCTAGAGAGCTTATAGTTTACCCTTCGAGTGCCTGAGCTTAGCTTTGTGTCTCTCAACAAACAACTTTAAAGACAGGCAGAGAAAACAAATATTCACACACATAAAGATGTGCATTCAAAGAGTCGCACATCCATATATACCTATACACACAGTCACGTGTATTTGTACGCACTCCGTTTCATGGTGATTTGACATAACTGGGACAACCAATTGTGAAGTTAAAAGACCCCATAAGGCACAGTGTCTACCACTTTGTGTTTAGTGCTGGCGGCTAAATCAGGGCATGCTCTAAGTAATGATGGCAGCGTGTGGCTCACAAGGGGGGGGCTTTAAACAGCTATATCTGCAGTGCAGAGTTTGGTCCTCTCATACAAACATTTAGCAGAATACACAAAAACCATATAGATTTAAATATTTACCCACAAACAGCTGTATAATCATTGACTTACATATATATCTATACCTTTTTTTTTTTAAAAGCCTTACTTTTGAATAATTGTAAGAACATATACAAATAGGCGGAATTTCTGAGAAAAGGCTGTATGTGAATGCAGAATTGTGTGTGTGTGAGTTTGTTGGAGAGGGGAAGAGAGGTCTCTGTACTGTAAGTCAATAATTGGTTTTCCATTATGTACCCAATGTTAAATACGTTTGTGCTATTAAGGGTAATACACATATTCAGTTTGCTTTCTTTCCATGGCTCAAATACGCTGCACTTAAAAGATCATAATAATAATACTCCTGTACTCCTACATTAAGGGTTGGGTTCACCTGAGGCGTATAATTAAGGAACTGTGAAACTCAACATTTAAAGGTCCCATGTCAATCAATCAATCAATGTTTATTTATATATATAGCCCAATATCACAAATGTTACATTTGTCTCAGTGGTCTTCACAGTTTGTACAGAATATCAGTATGATGATATGACACCCTCTGTCCTTAGACCCTCACATCGTACAAGGAAAAACTTCCAGAGAAAACCCACAGTTTAAAGGGGAAAATGGGAAAAACCTCAGGGAGAGCAACAGAGGAGAGATCCCTCTCCCAGGACGGACAGACGTGATGTCATGCTTTTCCGGTTATTCCCTGTCCCCTTGTGTGTTATGAAGGTTTGTATGCATGTAAACGGTCTTCAGAGTCACAAACACAGTGACGTGCCCATACAAATGGACCAATGCGTGGAGCCGTTACGTTACGTCCGCGGAGCCGTTAAGTTAAGTCCTCACACACACTCAATCTTTTCTCAGCTGCAGCTCCGCCGATTTCTCCTCCCTGAGACGGCGGAACACGGCGAGGCTGTGAGTCGTTGTGTGAGCACACACACAAACTCCCAGCCAAGCTGTGGGTGTGTGTGTGTGTGTGTGTGTGTGTTCGTGCTGGTTTCGGGCTGGGTTTCGCTGTGTCTTGCTGTCTCGCAGACGGCCACTGGGCTCATAGGGAGGGGGGGGGGGGGGGCGGGAGGAGGCGTCCAACCGAAGACCGGTTACGGTACGAGAGGATTAGTCGTGTAGGACGTCGCCGAACGGACGACAACCGAG